GAACCATTTTTAAATGAAGACCCTTTGGAGGAGCTCCCATGGTGTGTCGTCATGCAGGTGTTCGTGGGTTTAGCCCACCTTGGCGTGGTTTTGACAACGATGAAAAAGTATGTTGGGAGCATTCCGGGGGTGTTAGGATTGTTGCCTGCATTGCTCACCGCTGGATCCCAAATGAAGGCAAGCCAGGTGGAAAAGGCCTGGCAACCTACCAAACTCTGACCCACTTGTGGAGGAAGCCCCTGCCCTCCAGCCCTCCTGTCCCTTCCTGCTTCCTCTCCCTCTTTCCCTGTCCCCTCCAGGCCTGTGACAGAGGACAGCATGTCCTCCCCCGCCATCACCACCCACTCTCCTCTTCAGGGGGCTATCCTCGGTCCCCCTGATCACGGCTGGGTCAGGTCGTAACACACATCTCCTAGCAGGCCTGACCTGGAAGTCTTGTTCTGAGCCTCCACCATCTGGCCCTTCTTTACCCTGTAATCAATAAGGAGGGACGGCGTTCTGCCCTCGGGTGGCTCTTGTCCATAGCAGGCCCCAGGCAGATATTGTCCCAGGAAGACTCGGGGAATGGGAAGTCACGCCTGTGCACAAACACTGCCACGGGTCCTGTGCGGGGGTCCGAGGAGAACTGCTCTTAGCGTTTACCAAGTGACGTCCTGGTGGCACGGTGGGTAAAACGCTGGACTGGTTGCTGAAAGGTGGGCCGTTGGAACCTCCAGCTGCTCCGCGGAGACAGATGCGACCATCTGCTCTCGTGAAGCTGGAAACATACACACTCGCTCGGCGAGCGGTTAAGCCATTGACTGCTCACCTCAAGATTCAAAACAAAACAAACAAGGAAGCAACTGCCAGCGAGCTGACTGGTTCTCAGCCACCTATAGCCGCGCCTGTGGGTTTCCCAGGCTCTCTCCTCCCGAAGAGTGTTGGTTACAGTCTCGGAAACCCACAGGGCAGCTCGTTCCACCCTGTCCGACAGGGTCGCTGCGGTGCCTCGATGACCGTGAGTTTTGTGTGGTTTGTGGTAACTCTTTTTCAGAAGCAAACAGCTTCATCTTTCTCCCGCAGGGCAGTCGGTGAGTTTGACGGGCCGACCTTTCAGTTAGCATGGGGCCTGCCGCTTAACCCCGCGCACCACCAGGCACCTCCAGAAAGAGTACCGCCCTTCGGAGCCCCACCGGGCAGTTCTGCTGTCCCGTGGGGCCGCGGTGATCAGAACCGCCCAGTGACAGGGGGTCTGGGGAAGAGGGTGTCCTTTTGGCCTTGCTGCACTAGGGTGGGTCCTACTAGAAGACTAATGTCCTAATCTGAGAGGCGGAAAGACCACGGAGAGACAGGGGGACAAGAAGGGCGTCCAGGAGCACCAGCCTATCACGCAACCCCTCCGGCTGGGTACCCCTGCCCTCCCTCAGGCCTGTGCTGGTGGACTCCCTGGCTCCCCCCGCCTGGGAAGCCGACAGAGCTCAGCACTCCTGGCCTTGGGTGAGGCTTCAAATCCTGTCATTGCTACCCCAGAGCCTCAGTTTCCCCGCTGGAAGGTAGAGCCAGGGCCATGGCAGCTCTCCAGCCCCCGTGTGGCCCTCAGTGGCCTCGCTTAGCCGTCACCTCTGGGCTCAGGATAGCAGGAGGACCCTGCCTTTGTCCCTGTTCTGAGGGGTTTCCTTAGAGTGGAGTTGCTCTCGGCTGATGGGTGGTCCCTTGGCCCATCCCAGCAGGGACATACCAGCCACTTAGTTTATAGTTTATTGGGAGGGTAACCCCAGGCGGTGAGAGCTGCCTCCTGGGGAGCTAGCCACCCCAAAGAGTCCTGGGTCTTTAGTACCAAGAACCTCCATGGCCTGCAGCAGAGGGGAACGGGACGGCAGGCAGGGCTACCTGGGCCCTTGTAGAGCCTGTACTTCCACATTTCTGTAAAACAAGAGAAAGGTCTGGAGAAGAGAGCAGCCCCTGTGCGCTGTTAGCCTTGGCATTGTCTGTCCAGGGGAGCAGGGCAGAGCGGTGGTCGTGGCAACGTAGGTGTTAGGGTCACAAACAGATCCAGTCAAGCACCAGGTTAATTACTTACCATGCCAGTTCGCCAAGCCCAACCCCTTGTCCTCTCTGAGCCTCCGTTTCTTGATCTGTACAATGGGTACCGGGAAGCAGACAGGAGGAGGCAAGGCGGCCACCTCCCCCTAGAACGGCTCAGGTGGGGGGGTCTCCGCTCAGCCCAGCTGCTGGCCCTAGGAGGGATGGATGGGACCATGAAGAGCTGCTCCTAGAGGGTTCTCCTGGCCGCCATCTTTACAGAGTGGCCTCTTGGTGGCACAGTGGTTAAAACACTAGGCTCCCGGTCAAATGTGTGTTCCAGTTGTTCTTGTGGTGCCTTTGACAGGCGTCCTGGGGGCACAGTAGATATGCACTTGGCCGCTGAGAGGTTGGCAGTTCAAACCCATCCGCCGCTCAGTGGGAGAAAGATGAGGTCATCTGCTTCCGGAAAGATTTACAGCCTTGAAAACAGCTCGGGACATTGGACACTCTGCTAGAGGGTCGCTAGAATCGGCATCGGCCGCTCAGCGGCGGGTCTGGTTGTGGTGCGTGGTCCTATGATTTTCTTAGGCGCTTTCAGGTCGGCGCCCCCTCCAGCGCCCCCACGTCCAATAGAAATTACCAGGACCCGGTCCGTCCTGCGCCAGCCTAACGCTTGTGATGCCTGAGCCCATCGTTGCAGTATCTGTCCATCTCCTTGAGGGTCTTCCTCTTTGGGGCTGACTCTCCACTTGACCAAGCAGGTAAAGACCTTTCCTTCCCCAAGCACAGCGCCCTCAGGATCACATGGCCAACGCACCTGGGACCAAGTCTCGCCATCTTTGCTCCTGTGGCGCACAGGCCGCACTCCTCCGGGACAGATGTGTCTGCTCTTCTGGTGGTCCACCGTGGTGCTTTCAGTGTTCTGCGCCCGCCAACGCCGTCATTCATGTGCATGTCTGTCAGCTTGTTATGCTGTGAGGGCTTGCGTGTCGCTGTGATACTTGAGGCCATGCCACCAGCAGTTTAAATGCCAACAGATTCTCCCCTGCTGGAGCTTCTAGACGAAGCAGAAGGAATCAACTAAAAGATCTCATTGCTATCCAGTCAGTTCCAAACAGGATCGGTTAAAACTCCAAACCAGACGCACCCCCCCCCTCGAGGCGAGGCCGGCTCGTCAGGACCCTAGAGGACGCGGTACACTTGCTTGTGGGTTTCTGGGGCTGAGACTCTTGACACGCAGACAGCCTCATATTTCTCAGGAGGAATAGGTCCCACAGGTGTTGGCAAATGCCGAATGCCATGTGTCTCTCGTTACTGTCGCCCTACAGCATAGCTCCCCGCCTGAAATAGATTTCTGCTCTCCGATCCTCCCCGAGCCCCTGAACCACCTTTCTGTTTTAAACAGTCCACGTGTCATACAATTCGATAATTCAATCCTCTCAAGAAGAGTTGTACAATTATCAGCACATTCGATTCTAGAACATTTTCTTCCCCCTTGGACTCATTGTTATTCATGTACTTTTTCCCCCTAATTGTGGCAAAAATATACACCACAAAACGCTCTCTGATTCCACAACAGCTACACGTAGAATTCAGTGCCATTAATTATACTCTTTGTGTTGTACAACCATTATTGATATCCTTTTCCAAATCATTGCACCACCATTAACATAGACTCAATGCCCCTAAGCAACAACATGTTCTCTTTCACCCATGGTAACCACTGGTCTTTTCCCCCTCTCTTTTTCTTAAGTAGTTTTCTTAATAGAGTATTCACTCATCATACACTGGGGGTGGGCTCGACAAGGCGGTGATGATTACCCCTGCCATCACACATCACGTATACCAGATCTATTCCTGCGCTCAACCCTATGGCGTGGGAAGAGAATGAGGCTCACTGGGTGGTGATGGTAGGAGACTTGCTTAGGGCTACCCTGAAGTCAGAAAGGGGGTCAGCCCAGTTCTTCCTGCCTCCAGAGGAAGACAAGATCTTCCCACACATTTCATTGTTCCACTCAACTTGCTGCCATTGAGTCCACTCTGACTCATGTTGGACTACTAACCATAAGGCCAATAGTTCGAAACCACTAGCCAGTCCTCGGGAGAAAAATGAGACTTTAGGGTCTAGGAAAGCCACAGAGGCAGTTCTACTCTGTCCTATAGAGTTGCTCTGAGTTTTCGTGAATAGTAAATGTTCAAACAAATTCACAGACCAGCAATTATGTAGTCAGTGCTTATTACATATCAGGGGATCCTGCACAGCACACATTTTTATAGTGGGGGGGCCGCGGGGCGGGAACCAAACCCAAACTCTCTGCCATCGAGTTGATCCCGACTCATAGCGACCCTATAGGACAGAGTGGAACCGGCTGTCTCTTTGGGGTTTTGAGACTTTAAATCTGTAAGCGTTAGACAGCCCCATCGTTCTCCCGTGGAGCAGCGGGCGGATTCCAACCCCTGACTTTTATGTTTAGCAACTTGAAAGGGCAAACGACAAAAGGACAGGCCAGATGGCTGGGAGCTCTGCTGTGGCGGCGCTGGGTCCCGGGCAGTGGCTTTGGAGCGGCTCGCACGAAAGCCCTGGGCGGAGCCTGCAGAAGGCGGGGGC